GGTGCCCGGGGGGCGGTGGGGGGGGCTGGGTGAGGAGGGGTGGGGGCCGGGGTAGGTGGTGGAGATGGGGGGACAGTTGGGCGACATCAGCAGGCCGCTTGCCCCCTTTCCAGGGGCACGTGAACCCGAAAAGGCACTGCCTCCGTAGCGCCCCATCACCCTGCCTCGGTCTCGAAAATGAGTGGTGGCCCGGCCTCATCTGCCTCTGGGTGGTCCCGGGGTGTGAGGAGGCGATGCTGAGGAGCGGTCCTTCAGCAGAAGGTCCCACAAGAGCTTCCAGAACAGTCTCCAGAGGAGAAAGCTCTGTTGGGTAGTCGTCCAGGGGACTAGAGCTCCGCCCCGGCCACTCCCCGTCCCTGGCATTTGGGCAGGTCCTCACCTATAACTTCGCCGGGATGGTCAGTGCTCCAGACGCTTCTCTCTGTCACCCCGGGTCAGTATCGACAACAAGTGTCCTTATCACCCCGGGAGCACTCGCTCAGGACCCCGCAGCCGGGAGGGCAGGAGAGGCTATAACCGAGAAGGGCCGAGGGGATGCCAGATCAGACGGAAACCACCCCTCCCCCCAGGTCAGAGGTCAGAGCACTCAGACAGGCTGAGGAAGCTCTGGGACGTTTGTGCCGGGATGACTTTTTGTGTGAGGTTTCCCAAAAGGCGGAAGATAAAATGTGCTTGTTTTCACAATCGGGGGTTAGGTTTTGGTTTCGGAATGATCAGACCCTGACCAAAACCTTTCTACACTCCGCACCAGAACGTTCTGGCAGAGCTTACACAGACCTGACGTTAGGTGGCTTCACTGAGCCCCTGCCAGCAACGTGGTTCTCGGCCCATCCTCCGGAACCGCCGAGCGCCGGCCCCGTTGGCCTCCGGGAAGCCGCGGCAGCTGGACGTTGTGTCGCCCAAGGCTGCCTGGCTCTGTGGTGACAGCCCAGGCCAGAGCCCTCGCTTTCCAGCCAACAGGCTGTCCTGACAGAGCCCCACATGCCGGGGGCTCAGACCACAGAAGCATGTTGCCTTCTGGCTCTGGAGCCTAAACGTCTGATAGCAAGGTGTGGGCAGTCCGGCTCCTTCTGCGGCCGTGAGGGGGTCTGTTCCTGGCCCCGCTCCTCGCCTCGTCCTGCCTTTTTTCACAAGGTGTCCTCTGCCTGGCAGCTGAGTCCTCACATCCCCCTTACGAAAGGGGGCTACCCTATTCCAGCACCACCTTAACTAATGACGCTGTAGCCGCCCTGCTTCCGAATAAGGCCCTTTCTGAGGCACCGGGAGTCAGGACCCCGAGATAGGGATTTGGGGGACACAGTATCCCCCCCCCCCCCCCCAGCAGCGGCCATCTCCTCCCAGGCAACCTATGGTCGGGCCCACGTGTGACCTGAGTCCGCTCTCCCTTTAGATCGTGGCGACCCAAGAGAAGGAGCTGGCACAACCCTTCAGCACGCTCTTCCCCAGGGTGGAGTACATCGCCAGGGCCGGGTGGACCCGGGACGGCAAATAGTGAGTGTTGCCTTGTCACTCACCTCGTGACCCTGCGGCCACATCAAGGGCAAGTCTCTGGAGCCAGGCCCCGGGCCACCGCACGCAGGCCAGGCAGCCTGATGTCAGTTTCCGTATGGCCCGCGAGCCAAGAGCGGCCTTCATGCTTTCTAAACAGTTAGAAGTCAGAAAATCCAAAGAAGAATACCTCATCACACACGAAAATGCTATGAAATCCACATCTCAGCGTCCAGGAATAAAGTTTTATGGGCACGGGGCCACACTTGCTGGTGTCCAGATCGGCCGTAGCTGCTTTCGCGCCACGTTGGCGGGGTTGACGGGCTGCTTTTAAAGGGAACCGTGTGGTGCGCGAGGCTGGAATATTTACTTGCTGGCCCCTGTATCACAGAGGCAGCCTGGACCGAGGGGCCGGGCCTTTGGCGGGCGGCAGGCTCTGGCTGGAATCTCCTGTCCCTGTGGCATCGCCCTTTGGTTTTAGTCGTTCTCGCTCCGTGTTGAGATTCAGCTTCTCTACTTACGGTACCGACATCTCCGTTTAAGACACATGGTCCGTTTACAGTCGGAAAGGTGGAGGGGCACCTGGATGGCTCAGGAGGTAAAGCATCTGACTTCGGCTCAGGTCATGATCTCACAGTTCATGGGTTCAAGCCCCGTGTCGGGCTCTG